TACCAAAAGGAAATAGTTAATGTTCAGCCATTTCAAGAGGTAGCATATGATCAAGAGCCAATGATACTGAAGGAGGAAGTCCAAGATGCATTGAAGGAATTGGCAAAGAACTAGGCACCAAGAATTGATGGAATAAAAATTCAAATCTTTCAAGAAAGTGACACAGCACAGCAGGCACTCACTCTTCTCTGCCAAGAAATTGAAAGACAACTATCTGGTCGACTGATTGGAAAATATCCATATTTGTACCCATTCCAAAGAGAGGTGACCTAATGGAATGAAGAAGTTATCGGACAATCTCTTTGATATACCATGCAAGTAAAGTTTTACGAAAGGACCTTATTACAGAAATGACTGCAAGCATACATTGACAGAGAACTTGTTCAAGCCAGATTCAGAAGAGGCCGTGGAACGAGGGATATCATTGCTGATGTCCGATGGATCTTGGCTGAAAGCAGAGAATATCAGAAAGATGTTTACCTGTGCTTTATTGACTACACAAAGGTTTTCAATTGTGTGGGTCATGACAAGTGATGGACAGCATTGCGAAGTATGAGTATTCCACAACACTTAATATTGTGCTCATGAGGAATCTGTACCTGGACCAAGAGGCAGTTGTTCGAACAGAACATGGGAACACCGAATGGTTTAAAATTAAGAAAGCTGTGCGACAGGGTTGTATTCCTTCACCATACTTATTCAACCTGTATGCTGAGCAAATAATCCAAGAAGCTGGGTTATATGAAGAAAAACCTGGCATCAGGATTAAAGGAAGACTCATTAACAACCTGCAATATGCAGATGATACAACCTTGCTTGATGAAAGTGAAGAGGACCTAAAATATTTACTGATGAAGATCAAAGAGCATAACCTTCAGTAAGGATTACATCTCAATGTAAAGAAAACAAAAAGTCTCACCACTGGACCAATAAACAACATTCTTATCAATGGTGAAAAGATTGAAGTTGTCAAGGACGTCATTCTTCTTGGATCAACTATCAGCAGCAGTCAAGAAATCAAACGGCGTATTGCATTAGGCAAATCTGCTGCACAAGACCTTTTTAAAGTGTTGAAGAGCAAAGATGTCATCTTGAGGACCAAGGTGTGCCTGGCCCAAGCCATGGTATTTTCAATAACCTCATATACATGTGAAAGCTGGACAGTGAATCAGGAAACCGTAGAAGAATTGATGCTTTTGAGTTATGATGTTGGAGGAGAATATTGAAAGTGCCATGGGCTGCCAAAATAACCAATAGATGCGTTTTGGAAGAAGTGCAGCCAGACTGCTCCTTGGAGGCCAAGATGGCCAAACTTCGTTTCTCATATTTTGGACATACTGTCAGGAGGGACCAGTCGCTAGACAAGGATATCATGTTTGGTAAGGTGGAGGGGCAGAGAAAGAGAGGAAGACCCCCAATGAGATGAATTGGCCAAGTGGCAGCATTGATGGACTAAAGCATGGCAACAGTAGTGAGGTTGGCCTTCTGCTGTGCATAAGGTTGCTATGAGTCAGCACCGACTAGATGGCACCTAACAACAATAGCAATAGGTGCAACAACCTAAATGTCCATCAACAGATGAATGAATTTTTAAATGTGGTATGTTGTTGTTGTTGGTAGGTGCCAGCAAGTCAGTACCAACTCATAGTGACCCTATACACAACAGAATGAAACACTGCCCAGTCCTGGGCCAACCTCACAATTATTGCCACACTTGAGCCCATTGAGCCACTTTGCCAATCTATCTAGCTAGGGGTCTTCTTCTTTTTCTGTGACCCTCTACCTTAACAAACATGATATCCTTCTCCAGCGACTGGTCCCTCCTGACAATATGTCCAAAGTATGAGAGATGAAATTTGGCCATCCTGGCCTCCAAGGAGCACTCTTGCTGCACTTCTTCCAATACAGATCGGTATATACACTTTTTAAAAATGTGTAGCATAGTGGGTACGAGTCAGGCTGCTAACTGCAGTGTCATAAATTCAAAACTACCGGCCATTTTGCTGGAGAAAGATGAGGCTTTCTGCTCCCATAAGGATTTATAGCCTTGAAGACCCTATGCAGGGTTGCTATGAGTCAGAACCAACTCCATGGCTCACCACCATGTAAATATGATGGAGTATTTCTCAGTCAGAAAAGTGAAGTCTTGATCTATGCTACATGCATCCATGAACCTTGAAAACATTATGTTTAATGAAATAAGATACAAAAGGACAAATGCTGTATTATTTCACTTGTATGAGATAAGCAAGTACTTGGAACTCAGAGGTTATTAGTGGGTGAAAAGGAGAAGGAAAGGGAATGTTTTTGCTTAGAGGGCATTGAATTTTGTTAATGGTGCTAGAATAATTGGAAAAAGAGTGATAATGGTTACACAGTATGAACAATATAATCGAAGTCACTGAATTTTATACATAGAAATGATTGAATTGGAGAATATTATGATGTGTATATTTCATCAGAACAAAAAAAATGAAAACAATGTGGGAAGAATAAGGGAATAAAGTAGGTGTTCATATGATTGTATCTACATCTGGACTAATGTATGGTATGCAAGCAAACGTTGCCACAAAGATGGTACAGTAAGTCAAAGTCTGTTTTCAAATTCATAATAAGCTAGTTTTAGGCTTGGCCAGTGCTTGTCATTCTAGTCCTTGCATTGACATTTCAGGAGAGTTAAAATAAAATGTGTCCATATGGTAGGCCCAAAGGAAAATATCTTTTTCCTTTTTCACATTTCAATAGTAGTTTAGTATAGGAGTGAGAGGTGGATTTAAGGCGAGTCTTTCAGCTTATAAAATCAAGCTATGACACTAATTATTCATATTCCTACTTTCATTACAGTTACTTTGGAAGCAGTAAAATGTGAGAATACTTTGGAAATTAGCATCTTTTTCATTGTGTTGCTGTGATTAATTGCTGTTGAATTGGTTCTGACTCAGCAACCCTGTATAGATAGGGTTTCTGAGGAGCAGCTGGTGTGTTTGAACTGCAGATCTTGTGATTCAAACCGACTTTGCAGTCCAGTGCATTAACCCATAGTTCTACACACATTGTAAATCTGTGCCCCAAGCTTTATAATTCTAGGGCCTTTCTTAAATAGGATAGATGAGATGAGTATCTGCTTGTGTTTGATAGAGTGAAAAACAGAGAAAGGAAATTCATACGTGCAAAAAAGGGCTGGATGTTTCCATGAACTTAAAATATAGAAACCCTCAAAAGGTTTACCTACTTTGTACTATAGGAAGAATCCAGGCAGGTCTATGACATTTTGTTGTACAAGTTTAAATTTTATAAGCTATCACTGTGGATTCTTGGTGTGATGCTGTAGGGTAAGCACTGGACTGAAAGGTGAGTTTAAACTGAAAGGTTGGCAGTTCAAACTCAACAGCCACTCCTCGGAAACCATGTACAGTCACTATAAAATGTAGTAAAATGAATAGAAAAAAAGAAAAGAAGTGAAAACTTGGTCATAGAGTACTATGAACAGTATCTTTAATAGTCTGCAATAATAGCTATTGCACTTCAATATAAAGAAAATAAAAACCCTGACCACTGGACCAGTAAATGTCATGATAAGTGGAGAAAAGATGGAAATTGTTTGGATCCACTATCAACACGCATGGATGCAGCAGTCAAGAAGTCAAACAACATATTGCATTAGGCAAATCTGCTGCATATTACCTCTTTAAAGTGTTCGAGAGCAA